GGATCGAAATATGTATGACAAAAACTTGTCACAAAGTAAGTGTAGGTCTATAGGATTATGTTGAGAAATGTATTACAAACCATGAGGTCTGGCATCTTTATCTTAACGGGCAATACCAAAACATTCTACAGAAACCAAGTCTCTGTGACAAACATAAGCCTTCCTCAACCCCACAGCAGAACATGTGCCAAGTCTTCATTTGTGAGCCTCACCATTATGGATGATCCCTATGACAAAAGCTACCACTGACTAGAACAACAGCTATTACAGCCTTATGCTACCATACAGGAGAGGGGTCAAAACCAATGATGGGTCCAGCTCAAGATCATACTCAAATATATGACCACTGCTTCCAAATTCAGCTTTCTTCTTCATCCCACTAACAGTAACAACAACATTAAAAAAAAGCACAAAAGCATGTAAGAGGTCCCTGCCATTTGCGGTATTGAGTTGTTATTTTCAAGCTTTTATAGTATTCCTTTAGAAACAGCATAGTGTACCCAGGACAGAGCTCTCAGCAAGAAACACAAGATTATTGTATCTGTTCCAGAAGGGACAAAGTGAAAAAACACCTTCATAATTTTTAAGTTGCAGTGGAAGATTCATTTATTCAATCTTTCTTCTTTGATGAAATATGTATCACACAAAAATTAATATACCAACAAAATATACTAAGATACCTCTTGGGGAACAATACTTCATGTAATACATGCTAACCTGCTTGTCTCTTCTCAGTTACAAACACCCAGGATGTCAGTCCCAGTCTGGTGATGAAGTCAGACTATCAACTTAGCTACTATAAAAAGAGTATAGCATATAGAACAAAGCTAGGTTATCAGACTCCAGAAAGCAAAGTAAAAAAATACAGACTGCGGGTTTTGTAGGAAGAAAGAGGAAGGAGAGGTCCAAGGGGGAAAATTCATGTCAATTAAAAAAAAGAAAATTAATTCACAGAACATGAGCTGCATTTTAATAAGCCTCTTTTTATTAATAATAATGACTGATGTTTATGTAAAGCACTTTTTTACTCTGGACTACTTCAGCTCTACTAGATGAGTAACTTTCCAGTCTGATTCATGACAGATTTGTTTTAAACTAAAAAGGGGAATAGTGCTCTGATTCCAAAAATTATTGTCTACATAGAGTTCAATATCATTAAATTATTTCATTAATTCTGAAATAGTTTCAGACTAGAACAGATTTTAAGAGAAGGCTATACAATCTTTACACAAAAATTATAGTACTAATATATTAAGTTTTAACAAAATGTTATCCTCTCAGTCTTTCCTATCTTTTCTCTACAGACATCTATTTACTTTCTAGACTTAATTCATTATTCATATACTGTCTTTATAACTACTGTACGAGAGCATTGGTTGGTTGTGCACAACAAGAAAGAAAATGCTGGTTTTTTGGGTTTTTGTTTTTTTAAATTCTGAAATCCTGTATTTCCTTTCACGATTCCAAGACAAAAAGGTTTCCAAAAGATTCTCTTCACAACATAAATGGACTTTGGATGATACATATTTCCAGATTTTAATTAATATTAGTTAATGCATAATACTGAAATAAACACTACTGCAAGAAATCTTTTCAAAAAGTCTAATGAATACTTCCTAGCTTATTTGGCATTGGGAGAGCTGAGTCCCAGACACAGTAGGCTGATATTGCCAGAATGCTACCCCCAATGTTTTTAACTCTGCCCTCTACCAATAACGCTCAGAGCACTTTAAGATTAGGTGACAATATTTTCAGACTATAAACTGAATAACTGAAGAAATGGGAAGAAAATAAAAGAGCAAAAGGGTTTAGTTTTTGTATGTCAGGAGTTTTTACTATGACAATCATTCTAGCAAAATTTCTAGCAAATAGAATGTATCAGAATAATTTCTTTCACTTAAAAGTTTAAAAGCCTTCTATAAACCAGGTAAAATATACTGCCAAAGCATTTACTTTTACTTCTATTTGACCAGCTGTGCCTAGAATCTGTGCCTGCACAGCCATGGAGAGAGCAACTATTTAGTTATGAGAAGACTAGTATTTATTCTTAGCTGGTTGTCACAAGATTGAGTACTTCCTAAAAGATAAGGTCAGGCTTCGATACTTTTTATGAAGATGCAAAATTAAAAATGTTCCAGAGTTAGCCTCTGAAAACCACCAAAGCCAGGAGAGGAACTAATATGCTATTTTATTTGAATTGTATATTTTCCTTCTATGATCCCCCATAGACAATTTAGTTACCATCTCCTTCATTTCCAGCAGTAATTGTACTCCTCCTGCTGGACAAACAGAGGCAACAATCACAATCCATCTTTCTGGCAGTGTATCAATTACAAGAGCCAAGAATACTACGAAACAATTTTCTGCAGTAAGAGGTGAAGCTAAAAGATTGAATCTCTATAGAAACGGTTTCCTCCATTACCTTTAAAGCTATCACCCTTTCCTCAGTGTACTTAATTAAAAATGTTTTTCTTTCTTGACCCTTTAAAAATAAAAACACAAGTTTTAATTCAGAAGGAAGTACTAACACGGTGATCACATTTTCATAATGCACTAATCAGTACTGTAATAAAATTATTATTTCACAACAGCACTGAAAGCAATTTTAATTCTACAGCTTCTGTCCTATGTACTATTTTATATCTAAAGAATAAAAGATAAGATGAGGGCACACTGCCAAAAAACTCTCAAGTATTTTTAATGAGCAAGAATAAGCTTATTCCAGATGGCTGTTTAGAAAAAAAATTATTCAGTTCTTTGAATCTGTGCTAAACACTAGTCCCTGTCAATTCAGAATATGTAAGCTCTTCGTTACAGCCAAAATTTCAACAAAGAATAGCACTTCTGTGAAACACTCTCCGGAATGCTGTGCAACTTCAGCTTTAATTGATATACACAGATGAAAAGAATCTTGCAGGATGCTTGCCCAAAAACTTAACTAATAGTATGCCAATTTTATCACTGATCCCATTCATTTGATGTCAAAACGACATAGTTCTGACAAATTATTTTTTTTCAGGAGCAGAATTTTTCATGAAGTTTAACATTCTTATTTTATATCATTTAGGATACAAAATCACATAACAAACTCTAGTATGGAAAATGGGACTTGCCTTACCCACAACAAAAGGCCAGTCTCCAGAAGCCTTGAAAGATGAGTGTGACATCACCAGCAGAGAGTATGCTGGGGTGTCACATCCACATGGAATTAAAAAATCTGCTGCACCTTGGAAAAAATCCCAACAAAATTTAGAGCACGCTATCAATATCTGAAATTATCTTAGTCTCCTCACTTAAAACATCTGGAATGTTACCTAATTTTGAACATGTTTTAAACTTGTTTTTTTTCACTTGTTTATGATATTGGGTCAGAATAACTCAGGTCATGGTGGGGAAGGAAAGACAAGACAATATGGAGGTGAGGTCATGCCTTGTCCCACATGCCAGCTCCTGGAGACTCACTGGGCAACCCTGGAGCAGCAGTCAGCCAAAGGCAAGCCGGGAGAACGGCCTATACCGCACTCTGGAGCCCCTAATCCAGTCTTAAACTGGATGACACAGTGGGAGCAATGCCTCTCACCCTGCTCCACAGCCCTAGTGGGCCAGAAATCCCACCTGGGAGAGGTGACCACAGGGGGCCAGAGCAGATAAAACCAAAGACATGCTCTCTACATGTTTGAACCCACCATTTCTAGGCTCCTGTAGCTGGACCTACACTGGATCTAAGAATGGGCTACATCTTTCCTTTTATCTCTCTCTTTTTCTCTTCTTCTAATCTCCTTTCTTAATATTTGGGATAGCTGTATACTGGATGAGTTGGTTTTCACTAAGTTGTATGGGTTAGCATGTGCTAAGTCAATGCTTTATGGAATGGCTTCTTTTGGTTGTATGTTACCCTTTAAACTTTCTCTTGAGTCTACCAGTAAAAGTATCACCTGAGAAAACATGTGGAGCTTTTCTCCTCTGCACGCCCTCTTAAGGTGTTGCAAGAACTGAGAGCTCTTCTAATAATCCAGAGATATTGCTGGAGCCTTGAACATTTTTAAAGTAAAACTCCCTTGGTGAGCTTGTAACTCTGGTGCTGGGGTCTTACGGTGTACTTGCATGTGTTATAGTTCCACACAAATAAAAGGTCCATTTCAGATTTTTGGTAGTAGTTTTTACGCTTCTTCATAAGAAAGATCTTGGAGCATTTTCTTCAAAAGAAAGAGTACCAGCTTTGCTGTTCTGGCACTTTCAAGCACTGGGCAACTTTAAAGCAAACTTCTTAAATATTCTGAACATTACAGATAACAGACATAAATGAGCACCAGAAACAGAGACTTTACAACTTAAGTTTCAAAATGGAAGAAATTCCATAATTTTTAATCTATTCCAATCTGTAAGTCCATTTTCTCTGTTTGTGTGTTCAACTGCCCTTTACTGATGATAAGATATGGAAATATGATAACTGTTTATACATAATTCAAGTAAAACAACCCAAACTTAAATTTCTTTTAACCCACATAACCTTTTCAAAGCAACACAAAATACTGCTTCAAAACCAATGTATATTTTTCTCCTTGCAGAACGATCTGATGTTTCTCTCATTTTTTCTGACAATATCAGCATTTTTATATAGGGTTTTAGGATAGATACATACTCTGCATAAATTTACTTTGGAGAAAGTAAAAGAAAATTTGAATATACCTAAAGAAGTTACTGTTTTCCTTCTCAGTACTCCTTATCATTTCCAAAGAAACCTAACCTGGTTTTCCTCTTTTCCCAGATTTCTGAGAAAACTAACACTGTGTTTTTAACACACAGGAATCATACACATTTCAGAAAAAATATTTTATTACTTACCATAAATCAGTCTGCTTACTTGATAACATATATGTAGTTGAACTCTCTCCACTGTCAACAACTGAGCCAGCAGAAACATGTAGTAACTAGATACTAAAACAAATGCACTGAGATACTAGCTATTTATTCTCTTTGTAGAGAAAGCAGGTTCTTACCCAGTTTTCTTTTTTCAGAGGCAAAAAGTAGTAGTAATGGCAGAAATCAAGTATCAGCGTATAGGAACTAAGGATCTGAGTGTAGAAACACAGCTGCAAAAACAGCCAATGATTGTCTTCACCAACACAGTTATTAATCCTGCAGAGAAAGAAAGTGTGTATATATAAAGAAGAAATACAAATACTTTCACACTGAAGTTATGATACTGTGAATAAGAGACTTTATGATTACTTTTGGAGCAAACCTTATGAACTACTGGATCCATTGCACTGCCACTTGAAGTGTAGGCTGCACTACTGAGATCACTGCTTAGAATAGCAGACACATTTCTCTTTACTTTCATATAGCAGAGATACTCCTGCAATTTTAAGTAATACTGAACTCATAAAACTGTTTTTTTAAAGTCTTTTTTATTACTTTTAAAGTAATACATATTATCTTCGGCTACTCAACACATTTCACTGGTTGTGAACTGTGTATTCCAAAATCTGGAAAGGCAAACAAGTGGTTTGAAACAAATGTGATCACAGGTTACCCTGATGGTAAAAAAATATGACACGGGAATGAGTCAAAGGAACAGAAGACAACACAAGCATCCCTATTCAGAAACTCCTTCTTCATACTCCAACACAAAGAAGTAAAGGAATCATAACGATTCTAGCTATATTAAGATTAAAAACCTTTGAAATCTAGGTATAGTCTGCATCGCAGAAGTTACATGGATGCAATTTTAAACAAGAAGTGGCATAGACTTCATTACCAAGCTAAGCCAGAATGACAGAAGTACTATACTGGCACTATTTTCTGAAGTAGTGATTGACAAAAAATGCAGTTTGAAACATGGTTAAATCAGCACAGGGGGATCCTGATGTCAATTCTGTCCTCTGCAGTTTGTCACTGATACCTTACTGGAAATCATACCTCAGAACTACTTCCAGAAATGTTTATTTTCACGTTCAATTTTACTCATAGACATAATAAAGATCAAAGTTGTTATTTCCCTGCTCTAAATGCCTAAACCATTAAGCAATATAAGGAAAGAAATATGACAAATGAGGAGCAGTCAAAACCACGAACTTCAAAATTAATCACTGAAACAACAGTAGATTATTAGAACAAATGTCCTGGTTTTACCATGGACAGTGGTGATCCATCCTCCTCACGCAATGTCCACAACGACTGCAATGGTGCGAACGCTTTGGTCTCATCATGTTGCATTTGTTACATAACTCCCAATATTCTCGTTCTAGGTGAAAATGTAAGACATGCCAGAGAGATTTAAACTCAGTACCGTGTGCTCATAATAAATCAGTATGCTTGTGATTCTAATTAAAAAAAAAAAATCTTCTTATGATGTGAGAAGGATAAGCACTACATAAAAAACTTTTTCCCACTGTGCCCTTAATTAAACTGGAAGATATTACTACTACTCTATGCCAGTCTCCCTCTCGAAGTCTTCTCTCTTCCTGTATAGTTCTACAGAGCAATTATTACAGCACAAAAGCTGTGACTCACACAAGGAGGCCTGTAACACAATTATTTTCTTACACTTCTACTGTGAAAAAACCTATCTGCTAGACAGAATCATGATACAATCTCCCTGCCATTCAAAACCTCCCGAGGAAATGCTGCTACTGCCTGCTAGCTGAAATACAGTACATAACAAAGGCTTCAGGAGTGTCTTCAATCCGCAAGCATTTTAAAACATGCATCTCACCGCATGCAGTTTTACACATAAGGCAATCAAAAAACAGGTAAAGAATAGGTTTGTATTTACAAATACACACTATTATTAAAGACTCAAAGTGAGATTCTTTAAAAGCTTATCTCTCGAAATACTGAGCAGCTGAAACCACTAGGAGCTACTACTGCTGAGCTTTTATTTATCTCAAATTGCACCAACCAAATTGGAGTAATTCCTGGAAAATTCAAATTCAAATGGTATGTTCAGAAATTTCATCTTTACATGGAAAACAAGTCACATCGACATGTAATCATTCCAGTCACAAAGGCATATATTTTCTATCTTTAAGGAAAATAGGTGGATGACTGAGAAACTTAAATACTTTGACTGGTTGTTGCTGCCTAAATGAACTTTTTTTGATGCACAGAAATTTCTTAAACCCAGGAGTTAAAAAAAAAAAAAAGGCAAAAAAGCAAAAAAAGCTTAATTTTTACAGTGGTGCATTCTGAAATTCTATACCATAAAACACTGTCCCTATGTAAACAAAATAAAGTTAAATATAGCACTTCTGAGCCACCTGCAAGCAGCACTAATCTGGTCTTTCTGGTTGCAAAATAGCATTTGAATATTGGAAGTAAAGAAGCCCAATATCTGCGATCATCAAACCAGTAATAATGACAGATGGAAACTGATTTACAATCTGTTCCCAAAAATCCAGTGTCACAAAGGTGTCACTCATTAAAAGGGTAGCTACCAGCAGAGTTCAGAAACACCCCAACTCGTTTTTTTAATACAATTTATAATGCGCAAAAATGTATCCTCCTGTCAACCTAAAGAATGGCAGAGAACCAAAGCGCTACTTTCAAAAGTACGAAATCCCTGGTGTAACACCCATCAAATCAAAACATCAACGTCACAATCTAGTCTAAATGTTCCATCTTCAGAAAGATCTATAAAGTATCACTGCTGAATGGAGCATGCAAAGACTGGAGAGTTATTCAAAGGGATACCTTAAACTAGAAAGAAGCATTTTTGCACAAAATATACAATATGTTTGAAAGAACACACAAAAAAATTCTTCCCTTGGAAATATTTCCTAGCAGAAAGTCCTACATAACTGAACTTCTGGTGGAATACAAGTTTTGAAAAAGAAGCTTTGTGTCTAAGTAAAGGAAAGTGCTAGAAATTTACAAGTTAAAAATAGCGACATACTAACTTTAGCAGCAGAGACAGCTCGTGGTTTCCATCAAATCTCACAAAGTCAAACTGATTCCTAATTATTTTGAGGAGATTAAAATAACTTTTTTTCAATTATAGAGAAATAACTTAATGTACCTGTAATTGGTATCTTTGGATTTTCAGGTAGCTTTCCTGGATCTGCTACTGAGGCTCTAAGTAATGAACCTATACAAAACAATGAGCAGAAGTAATAACCTAAAAAAAAAAAAAAAAAAATTAAGCATTTGTTAGTCTTTTTCAGGTGTGGGTATCTACTACATGGTACATCAAAAATATAGATGCTCCAGCACTGAGTTGGAAATTACTCAACCTTCCCATTCAGTTCCAGACATATTTTTGGTACTAAACAATCTACAGCATTATGTACTCCCCAGTCTTGAAAAGGGAGAGGAAAAGGTAGCAGTGAACAGACCTCATAGCACCAGCAGGATGCCACTATACCATACTACTGTTTTTAAGAAGTTCCTCCACTGTCTATCAAACGAGCACCAATCATTCCACACCTCAAAGCCTCCACGTGGAAGGATATTTCCAATAGTGCATCTTCACTTTAAAGTTGGTTCCAGACATAATACAAACCTTTTCCCCAGCAAAACCCATATGAGCTGGCCCACCCGGGGATGTATGACAACACTAACAAAACGCGGTTTGTTACCAGTCATCATCAGTACTACCACCCCAAATTCTGACAAGCGCTAAGAGGCGTGGACCTGAAATCTTGTCACCAAGTTCTAGGCACAGGATGTGAAAGCTCTATTAATGCTTTTCACCAGTTTCCACACAAAGAAGTTCTGATATAACACCTTTGAAATGAAATGTCTCAGCTTCTCAGAACACAAAAATGAGAATACCTCTCAGCTATCCCAGTACTCTTATCCTTTATCTTATTGTCTTTATCTTTCATCTTATTTTTAATTTTTTATATTTCTCATATATGTTAAGTAGTGCCCAGAGATATTACTTTTACTAGTAGAAAAAACAGTTAAGTTGAAATTACTTACACAAAACTGCCACAAATGAAATATTTCCCTCTTCATAGTGAGGAAGAAGGATGACCTTTGGAATGAAGACTGTATTGTACAGCCAGACGAGGATAATTAGGCCCATGCAGCACCAACCCTGAGGGTCAACCACAAAGTGAATTCGTTGTCCCATTGAACACAAACAGGTGTCACGACCCAGGAAGAAAAGATACTTCTAAAGAGATAAAGAAAAAAATTTTTTTTTTTTAAGAGTAAATTAAGTAGTACAGTGCAACCTACAGGGTTCCATATACATTCAAATAAGGAATAAAAAAACGTGTCCGGTACTGATTTAAGAAATTAAATAAAAACTTACAGACATTTCACACACATGTTTCCAGTACCAGGTAGCAAAACATTCTATGATTTCATTAACTGGTTATATCTCACTAAAACGTAACATTTATCATCAAGATGCAAGTAAAAAAACTACCAGGGAAAACTACTAAGTAATAGGTAAAGCAAGCAACTGCCAGTCAGGTGGCAGCAGCATAGGATATAAATATTAAAGAAAAGTCTTCCATCAAAATTAAAAGCTTGCAAAGCAAACAAGAAATACAGGCAATGATTTATGTCATACAAGGATTCATCCCACCTGTTTATTATAGCCTCATCGCTATATTTCAGGATTGGTTTTTTTAAGCTTTTATGCTAAAATAGTAGAAAACTTCACTAGGAATTTGTTTTTTCCTTCCTTAAAAAAAACTCCTTCATGGCATTTATAGCAAACCTAGAGAGAAGGGAATCACTACCGTAAGGCCTTTCACAAAGAGCCTTCCAGGGAAGGATTAGTAGTGTTCCTTTTTTGCCAGGCTACCTTCATAGTCGTATCTTAATATTGCAACAGGCACATAAATCCCAATCTACTCTCCTAGCCATTAGTTACCCTGATTTCTGGGCTTCAGGCAACTTGTCCATTTCACATGGATTTCTTTCCATGCCTTTCAGCTTCTACTCATTGCACTGAAGTTTTGTTTATCAGTCAGATATCTCTGTTTCCAGAGGTCTTGCTTACTTGTTTCATATTTTATTGCTCTCAATTCTATTCACAATTTTCCTGCTTAATATTAATCATATGTTTCATTAATGTCTTGTTTTTTTCTTTTTCTAGATCTCTGATCAAAATCAGACCCAAACAAGCTGTCATTTTTCCACACTTCTCCTGTGCACTATACTATAACCCTTTGTTTGCTATCCTCTAATGCAACAGTGTTCCCATTCAGGTATAGCAGAGCAATATGTTTCTCTTTACCCTAAAAATACACAAAATTTCCTAAAACTTGCTTTTAAAACCATGTTGTATACTAAATCCAGCTATTGTAGTATTAAAATTGTTTCTAAGTTCATGACAACCATAAACCCTATTTAGGTCTATATTTACTGTTCTCTTTTAATATGTAGCATGCATACACCACAGGCTGTTACATACATGGTATTAATACACTACACACGTACAGTCTCTAGACATAAAATGATGGAGTGCTATATTCCTGAATCTGCCAGTTCCTAATGTGTGTCTGTTGTAAGCTGGCTTTGCTAACCAACAGGTTTAGAACAAAAACACATTTTATATTCTTCTAAGTGTTCACTAATAAAGGATCTGTCTCATCAAGCAGACAAGCTGTGGGAGAAGGTGAGCAGACTGTTCAACATCAGGGATACTGAAAACGAGATGCACCACATCCCTTCCAAGTTCCTGCAGACGCAGGAACCCCCAGGAACCTCTGCAGACAGAGCTTCAGCTTGTCAAGCTGAACATGGTGATGCAGAACGTGGCAAAGTCTGGGAGCCCGTGAGCTTGAGCACCAGGAGGACAGTTCTGCTGTGCCTGATCCACAGAGCACGCTCTGAGCCCTGGCAGCAGACACGGACAGGAAGCTCAGTCCAAGGAGGCCTCTGAGCTTCTGTGCCTGAGTCCTGTGGCAGTATGGGAAGAATGGGGTAAGGAACATGGGGTTAAACTCCTGCTTCAGGGACAAAGACACCTCTGCCAGCCCAATATGTCACCTGGCAAGGTCTGCTGCTTGCCAAGAGCCTGTGTCCTGGATACCATGGAAAAGCTATTACGGAGGCTGGTAGTAACCTGACCCTCAAGCCGTTACCCTCAGCTGCTCTTCCATAGGGGCACGATGAATATAGCCAGGAGAGACCAGAATTGTACCAAGCATGGACTGCAAGGCTCACAGGGTGTTGCCCAGTATCTGGTAGCCAAGTGGTGTCTCATTCATCCTGCTGGTGAAAGGGGAGAACTTGAGGAGCAGCACACGGATCCTGCAGATGAAGGAGTGGTAGTGCAGATTGTGTCAAAAGCTCGTCAGCCTTTATATCCACAGAACCTTCTACGAGGATCAAGAACTAATGGGGAAGAGGTGCAGGATCCACCTGAAATTATGTGGGTTAAAATCATCTTTGCCATGAAGCTGGTCAATCTGCTAAAGGATGGCTTAAACTAGGAATGATGAGAGAGGAAGGTGGAGACCTCTGAATGGGCAAGAAAGTGGTGGTCAGGGTTTTCAAGCAAAGGATGCAGGATATTGTGGACAACAGAGATCTTGCAATCAACCAGAGGTGAAGTGGGGCTACATCAAGTGCGTGTACACACCTCATACAGGAACACCACTTGGGTGAACGGGAATGGGGTTAGGAAAGCCAAAGTCCACCTGGAGTTGAATCTGGTGAGGGACAGGAAGGTCAAAGAAAAAGCCTTGTACAGGTACATGAGCAGCATCAGGCAGGCTAGGGAAAACATCAGCCTGCTGCTGAAAGTGGCAAAATGACACAAAAAGATCAAAGTGCCTTCTTGGCACCTTGCTCTTAACGGGTAGGACATGCTTTCTGGAATCCCAGGTGCCTGAGACCACTGAGAAAGACTCAGTCTGAGTGAGGATGATCAGATAAAGAAATCTTTAAGTAAACTGGACCAAACACTTTCATGGGACCTGAAGAGATGCCATCCTGAGTGCTGTGAGAGCTGGCCTTGTCATTTTGAGGTCACTCTCAATTATGTTTGAAAGTTTTAAGCTGATGGGTGAGGTTCCAAAGGACTGAAGAAAGCAAGTGTCAACTCTGTTTTCAAGGACAAGTAGAATCCAGGCAACTGCAGGTCTGTTAGCCTCACCCTGTTCCCTGGGAAGTGAAGGAAATGATCCTGGAAACTACTTTCAAACGCAGGAAGGACAAGAAGGTGATTGGGAGTAGTTACCGTCAATTTACAAAAGGAAAATCACGCAGACTGACAGAAACACCAGAAACACTGTTGACCACTGAGGAACCCATCTGTTTTCCATCTTACAAAAGCAGCAGAGATTCCATGACTTCACAGAGCTTCCTCAGAATAGGAAACAACAGCTCAACAAACAAAACAGAGAGATATAATAACTGAAATACTTGCTTCCAAGTGACCTGCTAAGTATAACGTGTGAGCAATAGCAGTGAGAGAAATTCGGGAGAAAACAGTAAGGATGCCTGAAATAGAAATATACCCCAACTTTTCATCACTCGGTGACTAACTTTTGCCTGTGTGACATTATTCTTTTATAATTAAAAAAACCTCAACACCACTCACCCTCAAACCCATACTTTTGATAGGAAGACCCACTATTAAGTTGGAACTATGCAAATAAAGGTCCCACTGTCAAGAAAGGGCAATTTTTCATCATCACCTTCTGTATCTTTTCTGAAACAGACAGAAAAGAGTGTGATACTCAAAAAAACCCATCACTTGTTTGATAAGCAGCATATAATAGGTTATCTTTCGCCAACTTCACTCCACTGAGTAGAGCTTCCTCTGAATTGACATGCTGCTTCTAATTAGCATCCCTCAAGTCTAGGTTCTAGGTCATTTTACAATTTTAATATAGATTTAAAAGGATGTGTGTGTTCAGAGAAAGGCCTATATAAAACTGCACTACTGCCAATGCATTTCAGTTCCATACAGTTACATACATTTGCTTCCCATGTGCCTATTATAATGTTAAATTAAGTTTTATGTTTTTCATTATATGTTTGTCAGCAATACTGATTAAACAATGTCAATTTATTTACTTAGTCCAGCAAAGTGAACTTTTTCTCCTCTCTCTCAATTTATGTACTATGTATAAATATATAAGGTGGGGGGAATGAAGAAAACCTAATGTGCACAATCTGATGGCTATACAGGAAATACTAGATTAAAATTTCACTCACAGACAAGGTGAATTTATACCCTTTTTTAAACATACTTTAAAAGAATTATATTTATTCTTTCAAATACAATGCCAAGAGAAAGGGTGACTGATATCAACTAATTTTGATCTTTAGGATGCATAATTTCAGATCAGAAAAACTACAGTAAGTAGCGGAAAAAGTCTATGAGCAAGTTTAGAACAAACAGGTTTAGAAAGAAACAATTAAGTAAATTATATCCATATACAGTCAGTATTCATACGAGCAACGCCTAAAGTTTTTCCAATTAAATAATTTATGAGAAAACACACAACACTAACGTTTGAGGGTTTGTGGTTTTCTTGCCTAATTTATAGCCATTTTTTCTAAATATCTCAAACAAACATCTCAAAGACAAAGCATCTGAAGGCAAACAGAAGTTGTGCTCTGGAAAGTTTCAGATTTACCAAACTATGACTGAGTCCTTCCTACATGATCAAGAATTGTTCTTGCCTTTCCAAAAAAATACTTTTATTACAGGATGCCTGAACAACATTTTTTCCTAACCCTTTTCTTTCCACCCAATTCAATTAATGGTAACATAAACTCAGTTTTTCGTTGACTACAATCACCTGCCATACGACTCCTCATGTGACATCCACTGAATAATGAGACCACAGAATGCAGGCAGAAACTCAATTCCAAGAAATGAGAAAGCTTTGCACTAACCAGAAATGTTATCATAATATTGCTTTAACAGACTCAATTAAATCCAAACTTTAAAAAAAAAAAAAAAAAAAGGGATACAATTTTGCATCAAGGTTGTCCCAAAACATACTTAGAAAATTGTGTTTCATAGATAAACTTAACAGGAGCAGTACTCAATTTCTCACCCTAAGAAGCATGACAGATAGCCCCTTGCACATTCATGGGTGTTGCACTGATTCATAAGTAGAAACCATGTCTCATTTTAGCCCTGGATATCTCAGTAAGAAAAGTAAGACTTCTGAAATCTGACTTGCAGAACTTTTTTCACAAATCCTTAAGCAAGTCCAGAATTACACAATCAGTAATTTATTGTATGCTCACTGCGAAACACAATTTTAAGACCCCAAGCAAACTGAATAATACTATGCTCTATAAAATACAGCTGCAGAGTAGAAATAAACACCACTTTCTAAAAAGACTGTACCCTAAGCAAGTCAGACAGAAAAAGGAATAGAGAGTATAAATACAAGAGACACACCTATCATATCACTTGTGTTAGCCACGGCAAGGCCTTATCAATCAACAGCCTCCCTTAATTTGTGGATCCAGCTGCAGTTTCGGACGACTTTCCTGAAATCTTAAGAATTGCCGCCAAAAATTACTGATATAAAACCAAAAATACACTTCAACAGGGAAAAAAAAAAAAAAGTGGACTTGAACTAATCAACTTTCAACTAGATTTTAAGGAAGCCACGTTATTATCAAGTGTCATACCCATGCGCCTGGCCTTGCCCATGTTTATGCAATGGATGGCTGTCAGTAGAGACCTTGGCACTACACAGGTAGGTGGCTGTTGTTGGGTTGGCAAGGTAGGCAAGACATTCCCACCCAGTTATTGTTCACTGACAGATCCACCAAAGCGTACCTGTCTGTAAACATTCAGTGCATTCACAAAAGATGTTACACGGGCTTGGACACCGACGTGACTTGCTATTCATGTACACCCACGGCATTCTCGTGATCACGAGTCCACGAAAACTGTGTTTGCCTACCGCTGACCGAACAGCCACGCGTAGACAGGCAATGCATGTTACTTGAGCATATCACTGTCTGGATCACCAGTGTGACAGGAACGTAGGACCCGACTAACCACTGGAGCTGGGAAATGCCAGTGTGAGGGCCAGGCGGGCGCAGGCCGCAGCACTCCCGAGTGCCGTGCCCGCGGAGCCCACGGCTGCCGCTCCCGGCGCCTCGCCCCGCACACCTCGGCGGCACCAAACGCCCTCCTCGCCACTTAACAGCGCAACCAGCGCGCCAGAGCTTGCCTGAGAGCGGCAGCAGCACTTCCTTATTTCATACCCAGGGACAGACTCAAGTCTGCCAAGGGCTTCTCTCCCCAGCTCTCCGCACACCCAGCAGCACTCCTGCAGCTGACGTCCCAAGGGTGGCGGCACGGGACGCCCAAGGCGCCCAGGAAGCAGCCCAACACCAGGCGGCCGCGCCCCGAGGGGCAGTCACCGCTCTCCATCCCCCTCAGACCGGACCCCTCTTCCCCTCCCGCCCGGGCCGGGGCCGGAACCGAGGCCGGCACCTCCCGTCCCCGCCGCCCCCCGCCAGCCCCGCCGCGGGCCACGAGGCGGCACCAACCGTGGCTCCCACCGCTCCAGCCGCGCCTGCGCGCCCGGACACACCCGGCGGGGCGGGACTGGCTGCGGGCGCGGCGGGGCTTCGGCGGGCGGGAGGGCACGGCTACCCCTCACGGCCCGGAGCGGCGGAGCCTTGGCGGGCGGGCGCGGCCACGGCCACGGCCACGGCCGCTCGTCACGGCTGGGGAGCGGCAGAGTCCCGCTGCCCCACTGCGAGGGCCACCAAGGGCGCCTTCCGCACCTCGCCTCCTGCGCGGGCGGGACGGTGACCCCTGTGCCCAGTTCGCCAGCTACCTTTCCCCAGGGTTTAGAGCCCGTTGTTACGGGCCCGTTCCCGAGCACAGACTTAGGTCGGAATGAGCCCTTCTCTCTCCTCCATCTCTGCAGTGTCCCTTTGCAATCCCTGACAAAACGCTAGCGCCGCAGGCAAGGCCTGTGCCTTGGGCTCTTGGCTGCTGCTAAGAGAATCGCATTCCCTGAGAGATGCTCCAGCGAGGCTTCGTAGAATGAAGCTGTATGAACTCGATAGTATAAACTCATACTAACTTTCTTAAGAGATACTTATTTTACCTTGTATGCTGCATTATCATGGTTAAGACACGGTAACTGGAGAGCCCCAGCTCAGTGCAAGAACAGCTCTCACCTTGAAGAATCCCTCCTATTATCTGTGGTAACTGTGTTGTAGGTAACTGTAACAAGATGAACTCCAGAGACACCCAAATCAGGAAAAAATCAGAGGGACAATGGCACCATAGATTTATAGTTGTTTTTCAACATAGTAGCTTTAGTGTGTTACGTAGTGAGTGGTCAAATCATGTCGTTTCTGAGTGCATGAAAGGTACAAGGACCATCTGTAAAACACATCCAGTGTGCCCTGATTGGAATAGGACACTTCGTGCCCATGAATTATATATATATTAATATGTATATATATTAATTCATATGCTTTGCGTCCTGGCCTCTCTTGTCAGCACAGACCATTTGCAACATTTTCATAACATTTAAATTGCCTGCTGTGCCATGCCTCTTCTTCACATAGGATCCTTACATGGCCATAGAAGCCAATCTTTGTTTTAAAAAGATAATTCAGACCCCTGAGGGATTAGCTGTGGCTAAGAGCAACAGACAGCTTGTGATGGACAGAATTTTCAGCATTCCCAGCTGGGAATCATGCCTTGAGCACCCATTGCTGATGCACATATATGATCTTTTGGCTACCTAAAGGTATCCCCATCTGTCTGAGTGGCATAGTTCCCACTGTAAATTGATGGGCTCTTGCCCTGGAGCGTTCTTCCTTCACGATGGTAGATGAAATGATGCAGAGTAAAATGGTGAACACTAACAATGCAGAAAATTCTTTATTACAGATCATATTCTTCCTAAAACTTAATCATAATATGATTATTCTGAAAAGGCAGAAGCCAAAAAGTCAGATTAGTGTTTAGGTAGTTTTCAAGCTTTTGCCAAGGCTTTTGGACCTTGTCTTGCTTTCAGTGTCCACAGTCTTCTGTTACACAGGGAAATTGTCAACACTTCAACCTAAGGTTATTCTGACCTGAAAACAGATATTCGTAGCAGAAACTGAACATTGTCTTGAAGGAGAAGGAAGTGTGTTCCATCTGAACTAGAGGAGAGCACTTTCTCCAGAACAACCTACATATGTCCCTAGGAGCAGGTAACACTGATTATTAATAATAGACATATTAATTGGACTACTAAAAAACAAGGTGAAAAAATAACTGGAAAAGTCATTGTAATGAGAAACAGCCTCCGGTTCTGTTCACTGACAGATTTCATGTATCAATTTATGTTGAGATGTAAAAGGCATAATAAGCTGTTAAAACTTTTCACTGATTTGAAGAATAAATTTTAATGGCAAACAAACAAACAAAACCCCCAAAACCAAAACAATCAAGCAGTTTAAAGGAAACAATGGACTTGGAAAATAAAATGGAAATATAAGCAAAAAAGCATAGTACAATCAGTGAAGGTTTCATGTAGAATAAAAAGAAACAGTCAGTAATGTCAACTTTTATTTGAATATGAGGTGCTTGCATTTCTGTAGTGGTATGCTGATAATGGCCAGTCATTAGACCTGTAGTCCTGTCAGACTGGTTGTATTTTTCTCTTTTCTGCTCATGGTTATGCAGAGGAAACACAGGTTGTGGAACAAGGGCAGTGGTCTATTCTGGCTCAGTTATCAGCACAGCAGTCCCCATTTATTAATGCTTCTTTTGAGGAAGCACAGTGCAGGAAGAAAAGCAGTTGTGGACTTCCCAATGGAAAAATATCGGACTATAAATATTACCTGATACTTTCACCAAAATATCAAATCCAGATAGATAGGTAATGATTCTTTGTGGTGAATTACTATCTGAGTGGGGAAATACTAACTTTACATAATATGAACTTTACATAAAATCCAATGTGGATGTATTACACAAAGATTATTAAAAGTCTGAAAAATTATTCACGTTCTTCAGTGCTGAATATTGCATAATAGCATAGAATTCCTCTTGGAGTTTCTGATGTCTGTGTTGTGTTGTTGCTGCTGTTTATAAATTACCACAGAAGCCACCAGCTGTCATTGTATAATTTTTATTGGCACTCTGTAAATATTAAATCAGGATGCTAAAATCAAGCCATGTGTAGTAACAGCTGATGCTCTGTTATGGAAAGTACATGCAAGAGAGAGGTGTGCACTGTGACTCCCATGATTCTTACGACTTACAAGCCCCTTGCTTCTTGACACTGTTTGCCAGGATTCCTTTTGAGCCCAGTTGCGCCCCTTGTTCCATGTGCCTTGTCTGTACATAGATATCTCCAGTCTTCTCAGCAGTACTCAGCTGCCTGTGCCCTTCTAAATTGTGCAGTTTGTTGCTACCACTTCTTTTTTGCAGCACTGTGGTGTTGCTCACTTCCTTGTAAACCTTGATGAAATACAAGGAGACACTTGTTAACTCTTGAATGGGAGCAAAATCCTTCATCTTGTGAAGGCAGAACTCTGTGTCAATGACACAGTGTGCTGAAACAAATCCTGTCCTGGCCCAGAAGTTTTGTCAGTTGCAGTGTGACATATTGAGAATGAGGCAGCAGATGTTAAACGAAAATGTGTCTCAGGCTCCATTTTGTCTCTGGCCTAATGTCCAGAAAAATCAAAAGCAAGGTATGTTTTCCAATCTGTCAGCCTCAGTAACAGACATGGTAAGATCTACTGATCCCGCAGCCCAGATAGATTACGTGGGGCAAGGTAGACCAGGGAGTAGTCTAACTTAGGCACTTAACAGCGGTGTAAGGAGCTCTGTTTGGATGAAGATATTCTAATATTAGGTCTTATAATGCCTCTTTACCTCCAGGAGTTGCAATCTGAAGGGCAGGGCAACAGACTGCTTGAATGTGTCCGTATCTGCTGTAGTGTAAGGTGACTTTGAACAAGCTTCAGCAGATATCCCTTTTTCAGAAGGAAGCTTAGGTACATGTCTGCTCTGTTTGAATGCTGTGACTGCTGGCTGCAGCCACCAGGAGAACATCAGACTAACTGACCAGTAATAGTAATATGTTAAACCAGGAAAATGAAAATGCCTCAGAACAGCCCTGACTTTAGTACTATTATTAGTTTTGTTGATAATAAGAATAATTTCAGTTCCTGGTACATTTTTTGTTTTTCAACTTGAAGTGCATTTTGGTAGTATCGTGGAGCCCAAGACACTGTAAATGGATGATTTTGTTCTCAGTGTAGACAATTAACATTTTATCAATATTCTTTCAGCAGGGTCAACTACAGAGTCTTTTAACCTCCATTCTTTCTCACCTGAGCCAAGGAAGTGTGCACAGCTGTCAGGGAATGATTTCAGGGGAGCTGAAGTCGGTGGCTACATGACAGATATTCAAGGAGTTAGGTTTAGCACAACATCAAATAATATTTGTAGTTCACTGTCAGTGTTTCCTGTTTCTACTGGCAAACTGTCTGATGGAGGACGTGACCTAGCCCCAACTCCACACCTCTTCACATGCACCATCCTGCACAGCATGTGCTCCCTGGTGCCTCCCAGACATGATGTGATTATGCAGCTGTGTAGGCTCGCAGAGAGCTTCCATCTGAGTAGGGGATCTTGTTTTGCTAATGCAGCAAGGAGCTGGTTCATTTAGGAGAAAGCACTGCAAGAGATTTCACTACCTGTCAGTAAAAACTAGTCAGCTGAGAGCCATGACCTTACCTGTGAATATTTCAGAGGCGATGAACAAAGTACCAAGCACAGCATGAAGTACTAAGTGCAGTTTCAGAGACCTTTTCCTGGAAAGGTGCAGAATTCAATAAGAGTTTGATGTAATTCTGGTGTTTGATGTATTTGCAGACCTTAAAGCTGGTTGCATTAAATCCACATTTAAGAGAGTAGCCTATACTCAAGATTTATTTTGCTTAAGCAGTAGGAAAAAAACAGCACTTCTCTTCAGTTATTTTCTAGGTAAAGCACACCCCTTTGGAAAAGAGACAATACATCAAATAAAAGGTCAGAAGTGTAGAAACTTTACTTGGAATTGATTTGAATTTTCAGAGAGCTCTGCAACTACGGCTTAGTCTTGTTCTGTAAGATAGGTTTGCACAAGAGTGCTCTGAAGCACATCACAAAAACAGCAGTTGCATTTTCCAGTTACACTGGAAAAGTGGAAAAGCTTTCATTACAGAAAGCATGCAATCTCTGAGCAAACACAACTAAATTAAAGTCATGCCAGTTTATTGCTATAATGGAAGCGTGCACGTAGAGATATGGATCACACCCTGCACCTTTCTGATCCATAGTATTCTACTTGAAGAGGCCATCGCTGTGCTGAGAGAGCAAAATCTTGTTACCCTCTGGGCACTATGTATTCCTAATATGGAA